ATCTGAGCAGATTCACTGCCATATGCTTTGATTTCAGATTGCAAAGACAAGGTCTAGCTCAGTGGGGAATATGGACCTGGTTCCTGGGCTGTTTAACTACCAGAAGTGTTAGCTATAACTGGGGAGAGGGGGAGCATATACATCAATATGCACTGTGTTGTGTGTAAAAATGGAACACTGTTTTCACACAATTTCACCGATTCTGTGAAACTTCTCGCAGTATTTTTGAAAAAACAAACAAAGGATGCCTGCCAACGAACAAATTCTGTGTAGTTATGTGCGCTTTCAAGGGATTGCATTTCAATTTTCTATATACCCAGCATAGTTTGCAAAATGTACAAGTATGTTCGGGGTGGGAATAGAAAAAGCTGCTAAGATTGTGATCGTTCAAAACAAGAGTCTTCTTTCTCATCCCAGAATATTAGATTCTCACTTAAGCGACTCCTGTGTTAAGTCATAGTAATTAATTTTCAAATAAGTAATCCTAATGTGCATTCTGACACACTTCAGTCACAAGAAAAAAAGGTAACATGCAAGGCCTGAACATTTTGAATGTAATCTTATCACCCTATCATTGGCTTAAGGTATCTAAGGGTCATCCCCCCCCCATTTTTTATTAAAATAAATTGTCTATACACAACTAAGGTCTTTGTTGCTACTTTGCCAACAGTGAATTCTGCATACCTGGGAGGCTGGGATTTATCCTGAAAAGGTGAATGCAAGAATGTGTGTGTGTGTGTGTGTGTGTGTGTGTGTGTCACTCTCATTGTTCCTGTTTCCTCAAACTAGTGTTATAAGAATTCTTAGGTCTCAAATACAGAATAAATGTTCATAAATGTCCAAGGCAAACACATACATAAGTATATAAACCTCGTGTCTAAAATAGTGCAGGAGAACAACCCTGAAGCCATTTTGACTCTCCCAAATTATCCTCAAATATTTCTCTGCAAGGAGGAAGGAAATGGGAAAAGCTTTGGAATTGTCTTTGGACTGTAGGGGCTTACACCTCCCTTTTCAAATACAGTCTGGCAAGTATCTGTTAAGCTGAGCAAACAATGAATATGCGTAAGAGATTCCGGAACTAAAGCATTTACCATCTCAAAGGAATGGCCAGGCAACCCAGAAAATGCAATCAAGTAAGGCATTATCGGGTATCATGGCAGACAGGAGAGAAGCAACACTCTCAAATTTCTGCTGGAGTCTGCCTCCTTCTGTGATGCATGTATGATGTTTTGTGGGTGGTCTTGGGCTACAGGGTAGGCAATTTCAAAAGTCTTTATAGGGGCTTGTGTACCATTGTTCGGGGTTCTCCTCCCTCCTGTGTGTGGTGAGTGGGGACCCTGTTGCAACAGTTTATTTCCTTTAATAAAGATCAGGCTTACTAGCCACTTTCCTTTCAATAAACTCTGCTTGGCCTCTGTTTTTCTCCGACAGATAGAAATCTCCTGAGGGACTCTACAGGCTCTGGATACCCCATAAGGGAATTAGAGCCAAAAACTAGATAAAGCCAAACAGCTTTTTGAAATGCAAGCACAAATGAATTAACTCATCATGAACACACCGACATTTCACAGTAAAATGATATAAATTGAACTGGGATGACATTTTATTATTAGTTTTCTGTTGCTTCTCTTTTCTGGCTGCTCTAAAGATGGTCAACTGAAAAAATAACAATTAAAACAAGCTGTCACTGGGGTGTCTCCCTTTTTTAAATTAAAAAAGAAAAATGTTCTCAAAAACAGCACACATGAAAAAAAAAGACACTCCATAACTATTCGTTTTGTCTACATTACTTTCTCAGCCTAAATTTCACATGCGTATCAGAGTACCTCTAGCGGCCAACTCTGGAATCATCAACATAGCATTGTCAGCTGTATACAATTTTGCCATTTATTGCAGTACAGTACAGTGGTGCCTCGCAAGACGAAATTAATTCGTTCCGCAAGTTTTTTCTTCTTGCGAGTTTTTCGTCTTGCGATGCACGGTTTCCCATAGGAATGCATTGAAAATCAATTAATGCGTTCCTAGGGAAACCGACTTCAGACCAGGTCCGGGGACAGTCTGTCCCCGACCTCTTCTGAAGGCTGGGGGGGGGGACAAGGGCTTTTCTTCCCACCCCCAGCATTTTAAAAAACCCCGGGACAGCGGAGGGCTTCTCCGCTGTCCGGGGCGATCTTAAAATGCTGGCGGGCGGCATTTTAAAATCGCCCCGGACAGCGGAGGACTTCTCCGCTGTCCGGGGCGATTTAAAAGCCCCTGGGAAGGCAGGCAGGGAGGACAAAGACATTTGCCCCCCGCCCTCCTTCAGAAGAGGTCCAGGACCTCTTCTGAAGGCTGGCGGGGGCGAAAGTCTTTGCTCCCCCCCGCCTGCCTTCAAAAGCTGTCCGGCCAAGGCTTCGCGGACCTCTCCGCAAGCAGCAGCAGCGCTGCCGCTGCTTGCGGTGAGTTGCCAGCATGCCGAAGCCTGCGCGCGCTGAGATCAGCGCGCCCAAGCTTCGCGGACCTCTCCGCAAGCAGCGGCAGCGCTGCCGCTGCTTGCGGTGAGTTGCCGGCATGCCGAAGCCTGCGCGCGCTGAGATCAGCGCGCCCAGGCTTCGCGGACCTCTCCTGCCTTCAAAGCCGTCCGTGATAGCAGGAAGCGCTTCCCTGCTATCCCGGACTGCTTTTAAAATGCTGGCGGTGGGGAGCAAAGCCTTTCGGCCCCCGCCAGCCTTCCTGGACCTCTTCTGAAGGCCGGAGGGGGGGGAAAGGCTTTGCTCCCCACCGCTAGCATTTAAAAGAGGTCCCCGGAGATTTCCCTATGGGCTTTCGTCTTGCGAAGCAAGCCCATGGGGAAATTCGTTTTGCGAAGCGCCTCCAAAACGGAAAACCCTTTCGTCTAGCGGGTTTTCCGTCTTGCGAGGCGTTCGTCTTGCGGGGTACCACTGTACTTGGTTTTCTTTTGTTAGGAGGGTTTTAAGTTAAAAATAATATGTTTCTTATTAACAAACTGTAAGCAAAAGCTTTATCAATCACAAGTCATAAAATTTTGTCCCTAATCCCACCACAAAGTAGCATAGGCCAATGGATGGAGTTTGAGGAGAGGGAATTGACATCCATGTCATTTCACAGCCCCTCAATGCACAACAACACAATATGGGTGGAAATGCTGCCAACAGAACCAGGACAATCACTTCCAGATTAGCCCTGCCTATATTCAGCTACAGGTTCTTTATGCATAGGTAAAGGTAAAGGGACCCCTGACCATTAGGTCCAGTAGTGACCGACTTGGGGGTTGCGGCGCTCATCTCGCTTTATTGGCCGAGGGAGCCGGCGTACAGCTTCCGGGTCATGTGGCCAGCATGACTAAGCCGCTTCTGGCGAACCAGAGCAGCACACGGAAACGCTGAAGCGGTACCTATTTATCTACTTGCACTTTGTGCTTTCGAACTGCTAGGTTGGCAGGAGCAGGAACCGAGCAATGGGAGCTCACCCCATCACGGGGATTCGAACCACTGACCTTCTGATCAGCAAGTCCTAGGCTCTGTGGTTTAACTCACAGTGCCACCCGCGTCCATATGCATAGCCCACATAAATTAAATCCCTTGCTCTGGGCAGGGCTTCTGCCAAGAATGTATGAATCTGAAAACCAGTAGTTCAAGCTCTACTTTTTTTATATATATAGTTTGAGGGAAGGTACAACCAGTACTGTTGTGATGAATACTCACAGTACTCAAACAGCTGAAAATCAACTCACTAGTCAAGAAAAGTGGGTTAAGTGTTTTGATTGCTGCTTTAAATCATATACCTACTGCTCATACACTCATTCACTATAAATACCTTTGGGCTCAACCAAACCTATCACTATTTTAGCAACTGTTATACACCATGAGCCACAGCTTAGCGGTAAAGCATCTTGCTTTGCATGCAAAAAGTCCCTATTTCAATCCATGGCTTCTCCAGATAGGCCTGGGAAACACCCCTGCCTGAAACCACTGCTAGCTGGTGTAGACCAGGGGTGTCCAAACTTTTTTCAGAGAGCCAGATTTGATGAAGTGAGGGCCGACCATAGTTGTTGACCTTTTTTAGGACTGAAGTTGTTGACCTTTTACTGGGGGTTTTGCTCCAGTAAATAAACTGCCACGGGAGCCAGATTAAATTGACCAGAGGGCCAGATTTGGCCCCTGGCCCCTGAACTTTGGACATGCCTGGTGTAGACAGTGCAGAACCAAGGTCTGACTCTGTATAAGGCAGCTTACTATGTTCCTTTTATCAACTCCAACAGTTAAAAGAATTCTATGTTTACCATCTGTTTGGTGCACATGGCAACACTGGTTTTTACCACTGGTGCTTGCCAGCATCAGCATAATTTTTCAAAAAAGAAGAAGTATGTAAACCGTATCTAGATTAGCAGTAAACCAGTCAATAATCTACTAGCCAGCTCATCTGAAATACAGTGGTACCTCGGGTAACATACGCTTCAGGTTACACACTCCGCTAACCCAGAAATAGTGCTTTAGGTTAAGAACAGTTTCAGGTTAAGAACGGACCTCCGGAACAAATTAAGTACTTAACCCGAGGTACCACTGTACTGCAGATACAAATTAACTTCTATTTTGTAAAGCAAAAGATAACCAAACTCTGATTTAGTGAGGCTGCACTTGTGAAATGCCTACCAAGCAACTGCTCTGCAACACAGAACAAGACCCCCAGCATCCCATGATAACACAAAGATGATGCGTAAAAGTCACTATGATCCTCTTGACAGAGTGATGGATGTGTTCAGATTCCACCTGTGTAGCCTCATCATCTTGGCAAGTCACTCTCTCCCTCCCCATTTTGGTTACATTTGTTAATAGGAATCATATTGCTTTAAATGTTCATATCTGGTCTTCTTTATCAATTCAAAGCAGCTTACCCCACAGAACACAACTCTCACTGGAACATGACATGAAATGCCAAGGTAGCAATTTATTGGTCTAGGATTACTGGAAACATCTGACTTGATCTTTCTCTTTCAGCATCCTGTTCCACTTGGCTGTCACGGGCTCAGATAGAATTTAAGAAAGTGGCCGAAGCAAACATTACTCTGCCCTGTCACCATCGACTGTACCGCCTGGGGCAAACAAGCCTAGACATAGAATGGCTGCTAAAGAATTCCGATGCTGAACCGAAAGTGGTATGTCTATCCCCTGAAATTCAAAGTTCCTTAGTTCATACTATCCCCACATAGATTCTGGGATTAAAGGAATAAAACAACCTTGCCCTCACCCAGGGCTTTTTTCAGCTGGTGTAACACACATGCATTGTAAATAGTGATGGCGCACATGCGCCCTACATAGCGAAGGCACACATGCGTCGTACGTAGTGACACAACGTGTGCGCAGCCGGTTGTTTGCCCCACCCTGGGTGTCGGTTAGCCTTTGTTCATCCCTGCATGTATGCTAATATATAAATATATGAGACTTCAGAGTCCTATGAAGAGGCTTTTGTTACAATGCAAACTGGGAAATACCAGCCACACCTTTGGTCATACCGAGATAGCAAAACTAGTTAACATCGATTACTAAGCACTACACATTTTAAAAACATACAAGAGCCTGCTTGGCAAACCAGCCGTTCTATATTTTAAAAGAGCTCCCGCATTGGACGACAGATTTCTGGTGAAAAGGGTAACTTAGAAAATTTAGAAGAATTGGAGTGCAATCTTGAACATGTCTAACTAAGTAGTATGCCCCATTAAGTTTGATTGGGCTTACTCCAAGGTAAGGGTATATACAACTGCAGCCTTAGACATGAAAAGATTTTTTGGCTGTGTTTTCTGTTAAACATTAGTCACACTGTGAGACAGATGGATGCCAACAACACTGTAAGAAACACCAAACTATTCCATAAAGGGATATACATGCCTTAGTTATGTTATGTTTGGATTACGTAGTGTAACACTCTACGTGGGGCTGCCTTCGAAAGCTGCTCAGAAACTAAAACTGGTTCAATAATCCACCAACAGCATACAAATCAATATGGCTAACCTGATCCAAAACACCCACCCACCTCACTCACACACGAAAACAAAGATCACCACAGCCAATCACAAGCAAACAATCACACCCTAGGCCAACCCCAACCTCTCTCACCACCAAAGGAACACAAGTGAACAACACAAGCACGCTGACACCAAACTCTACATACATTAAACATAATAGAAACACCGCCACCCAATCCCACCCTTATCCATCTTCCCTCTCTCCACCCCCCTTTCTCTTTTCTCTCCTTTTTTATTTTTATTTTTATTTTCTTCTCCCCCTAATGCCTCAACAAATGAAACGGATTTGTAAAAATGTTACATGGGGAAAAATATATATGAGGCACTACACTTCTGTAAAACAAGAAAATCCTTAATAAAATATTAAACAAAAAAAAAAAAAAAAAGAGCTGCAACCAGATTGTTGACTCGGGCTGGTTATAGGGAACATAAAACTCCCTTGTTAAAACAGCTCCACTGGCTACCATTCCATTTATGACCTATAAAGCCCTACACAGCTTAGGTTCAAGCTTTCTGAAAGACTGTACTCCCTCACATGAACCTGCCTGGGTTTTGTGATCTTCGGGAGAGGCCACCCTCACAGGCACTTGGTGGGGACATAGGAGTGAGCCTTCTTGGTGGCTGCTCCCAGACTCTGGAACGTCCTCCTTGTTGTCCCTCTGCCAACACGTGAAGACTTTCTTGTTCCAACAAGCTTTGGGGAACTGACTGGTTTTAATGAAAGGGCTGGTGCCATGCTGTTTTTCTTGTAATTATTTGTGTGGTTTTAATATATTTTATATATATACTGTATATAGTTTTAATTCTATAATTGTTTTTTTACAATGATTTTTTAAAAGAAATTTATAGCAGTTCTTATTTTTATCTGTAAGCCACCTTGAATCCCGTCAGGGAAAAAGATGGAGTATAAATAAATATCTCAAGTGAAAAGATTGTCTGTTGTCATACAAGGCGATTTTTTTACCTCTAAAAGCCTAGGCTAAAGCTTGAAACAGAAGACTTTTGTCTCAAGTAACAATGTTACTGTGTATAAAAAAACATATTCTTCCCCAGACACAAATTAAAGGAAATAAATCATAAGCATGATTTTAAACAAAATGTAAATCTTATGAAGTATAGCTGCAGAAGGAAAAAAGGCATTGTCCTAAGGTCATCTAGTGAAGCCCCCTGCAATGAAGGAATCACAGCATTGAGGACAACACATCTAGAACAAGTTACTCTTGTCCAATTTTCATTCAGAGAATGTTGAAAGCTAACCCTTAACTACAAGGACAAATTATGAAAGACAGAAATAAAACTCTCCCGAGAGGTTGTCATGCTAGTGGATTAGCAGATGGACAATGTTCAAGTGTGGAAAAGCCCTTGGAATAAGAATAAATCCTAGTGATTTTGTTTTTATTAAACTAGCAATGGTGAAATGAAGAACAAAGTAACTAATGAGTGGACTCTCTCTGCCTCTCAGGTGATAAATTATGCAGGAAGCAACACCTACACTTACTTTAATGATGAACAAAAGGGTCGTGTTTCATTTGCCTCCAACAACCGGACTGGAGATGCCTCTTTGGAGATTTCTTTCCTGCAGCCAAGCGACGCTGGCCAATACACATGCAAAGTTAAAAATGCCGGGCAGTATGAATGGACCCACATAACCCTGAAGGTTCTAGGTAAGGCTCTTATGAAGTTGTTCCAAGATAAGCACTTAGTTTATCTATTGAGTATCATGTTATTCTGGCTTACAATTAAGAGTAGAAATCTGATATTTTTTTCCTATTCCCAGAAAAACCTTCCAAACCCAAATGCTGGAAAGAAGGAGAGATGATAGAAGGGAAAGAAATTAGTTTACAGTGCAATACTGTCTCTGGCACTGCACCCATAATGTATAAATGGGAGCGTATAGAAGAGGATGGAAAAGCTGGGTCCCTGCCACCCATGGCACATATCAGTAAGTCCACTGTTGTCCCAAAACCACCTTTAAGCAAAGGTTCTCTTGTGGCTGCTCATTATGGCAGCTATCAAAAGCAGGGAATGTTTCTGGGTCTTCTGCTCCCCACAAGTATAAAAAGCTGAAAGTCTTGACATATAGAGTACCTTTACTCCCTGCAAGAGATCTAGAAGGTTCTACATTATTTATTTAGGTATTATATTTATATATTAATATGCAAAATCCCAAAGTGGTTTACATAAAACAGTGTAAGATCTGCACGATCAATACAAAAAAGAAAAATCTATATACAACATTACAAAAAATGCAAAGAATAAAATGTAAAGCCTCAAAGTTGGCGGCCATCAACACATTTGTCATAACAAATTTCATAGTCTAAACAATGTATCCTTGTCCTAATTCATGAAATCTTGATTTCCCCCCAGATTTTTCGAATCCTGCACAATTTCTGCTGAAGAACCTCACATGGATGGCAACAGGGTTATACCAGTGTACTGCCTCTAATGAAGTAGGGCAGGAAAGTTGTGTTGTAAAAGTGACTGTGCAGTGTAAGTATACAGGGAATCCCAAGTGTTTCTAAGGTTGGATGGAAAAGTAGTCCAATATTAAATTAAACATTAAATTCACAAGAAATGTCAATTGTACCAAAAAAAAGGCAGTTCATGAATATTGTAGAAAAGTAGAGGAACTAGAAGGCCACTGTTCAGATCTTGGCCTCATCACTCTCCATCTCCCATTCTCTCCACACAATAGCTATCAGTTTACACAACGAACCTTTGTTCCCAAGGCACAGTAACCAAGACCCTGCAGTCAGCCATTGGGTCTAGAAGCTGCACCCCTCTTTCTCCTTTATCAATCTCAGGTGTTCTCTGCTCACCTTTGGTCAAGCATGAGGCTCTTAATCTCAGAGTTGTGGGTTTGCATCTCAGGTTGGGCAAGAGATTCCAGCATTGCAGGGGGTTGGGCTAGATGACTCTTGTCTATGATTCTATTATTTAGGGATCCCTACAAACTAAAAAACGATGGTTGGATAGTGTTCTCGAAGCTACAAACATGAGCCTGACCAAACTGCGGGAGGCGGTGGAAGACAGGAGTGCCTGGCGTGCTCTGGTCCATGGGGTCACGAAGAGTCGGACACGACTAAACAACAACAACAAAACAACAACAAACTAATATATTTTTGGTAGAAGCAGCATCTCTAGGTTTCATTAATGAGCTATGTCTCTGAAGCAAAGGCCACACTTTTGAATTATCCACTCGCCTAATTTTATACTGAGCCTCAAATTTTACTGAAGAGGCAGAAATATTTTTTTATTTTCCTGTAGAGCAATAAAATATACTTATAACCAGAAGCTGAGTAAAAACTACATGGAAAGGGTTCACTGCAATGAATAGGTTTTGCTTTCCTGCTTAGGCACTTAATGATAGCAATACTGTGGGTCATGAAGTTTTCCAAGTTGTAGTTTTAACCAGAGATTAGGGTTTTTGGAAAACTGTTTTTCCCCATGACACGGGAATAAGGGTAAGGCTCACATGGTTGGCAACAAGTCTTTGCCAACATACACACAAATTTAGGTGTGTGCAACCATGAGGAATAGATTTGCTTTTAAATAAATGGACAGGAGGAATAAGAAAGTCCTTACAAAAATAAGCAGTAACTGCTTTGTGTGGTGTGAAGGAGCTGTGCTCCCAAGACAGGCGTCACCACAGCAGCCTACCTAGAAAGAACTTGGGTGGAACTTGGCAGAGGCAAGGTCAGGGCTACTTAGGCATACCAGCAGAAGAACTGGATTAGTTCCAATGGTGCACTCCCATAGCCCCAAATACACCACCATGCTGTCAGCAGCAATCACCTATGAAGAAGATGACCTCTCTCAACAGACTTTTCTTGTCCCATGACATGGTCTGGTGATGCATGATGCAGCCACCTTGCTCAAGATAAAGAGGTCTTCTCACAACAAAAACCCCCAAAGTGATTTACAACAAAAAATAACAGTAATACAAATACATAAAAATAATTAAAAACATTCACAGCACTTTGTGAAAGTGATCTGACTTAAATTTCACCTTTTTAAAGCAGAAGTAGACAGAGATTTATCAAGGCTTTATTTTTCCTAAAATAAATGTAAATATAAATAAAGGGACATTCAACAGAGAAGAGGTAAAAAGGGCTTAACCTGGACTACAGTGTTTATGCAGATCACTATAGCAATTTGAGTATGCTGTTATTTTTTCTTTTGGACACAGTATTAGAACTTCTTTAGGAACTCCTATACAAGAGGATTAAGTTGCATGGAAACTCACTGAAACAGACACAACATACTGTGGCAAAATGTTTTGTTCTTTGGCAAACATAACACTGTATGCATTTATGAATCAACAGATGCACAAAATTTTGGCATAGTTGCTGGAGCAGTGTGTGGAGCAATGGGGGGCCCTGCCCTGGTTCTCTTGGCGGTGTGGCTGACAATCAAGAAAAAAGAGAAGAAATATGAAGAAGAAGAGACCCCAAATGAAATCAAGTAATTACCTCTAAAGTATTTCTATTTACAACTCTCCAAAGACCAAATTAACACAACATTACCTCCCGTGTCACAGAAGGTCTCAGAACTGGCAGAAGGGGGGAGGGGGAGATTATCACTCAGTGATAAGAGGTTTCTAATCAGATGGGGAACTATGTGTTGAGATTCCTCTGCTGCAGGGCGTGGACACTAGATGACCCTCAGAACCCCTTCCAACTGTACAAGTCTATGATTCTAAGCACATGATTTACACGGGATCCCAGACTGAATCACTGGCACCCCAATTTAAAAGGCCCCCAAGTAACAGAGCTGGGAAAGATCTCTGCCAATACCTTGGAGAGCTGCTACAGGCAGCAAGAGAGAGTACTACACCAGCTGGATTAATGATCTGACAAAAGCGAATAGTTTTATGGTCCTTAAAACATTTACAAAAGTATTACAGGATAAGCCTTCCTGGACTAAAGTCTGCTTCAACATGAAATGTTATCATCAGGGGGCAGGTATTATGTGGATGTAGTGAAAAAATGTAAACAACATCAAAATGAGATTGAAAAATAGTCTTTGACAACTCTGCTGAAGTTTAAACATAGGCAGAAAATGGCAGCTTTATATACATACAGGCAACTCCCAATTTACATGAGGGTTAAGTTCCAAAGGCGCCACACATTTAAGTGAAATTGCATATAGTTGAAACACCACTGAAAAGGCCTGCACACACCCCATTCCACCCCATTTTGTGACTTTTTGGGTCACTTCTAGGTTCATTGAATCAGGTGTGCAGTCACGCACATATCGGACACACTTAAAATGGTTGCTGCCTGTATACCAGCCACTGTCTTTTGTTATCAGGCACATGTGGGCGGGGAAAAAGACTGGCTATCATATCACTCACCTGCCCAGTTTTTTATTTATGTCATTGAACAGATAAATTATATTACTGTCTATTAAAGTTTGTTCCTACCTATTTAAAAGGGAAATGCAGTATGAATCTAGCTGCATTACAATGTGCAAGCCTGGGGCAAGTGGAGTGAATAAATGAGTCAAGACTGAAGTTTCAAGGCTAAATATGTGTTATTCTATTGTGGGAGACTTGTGTCTCTTCAGATGTTGATGGATGACAACTCCCATCATCCATATTCATTGGCCGTGCCAACTGGAACTGATGGTAACTGGAGTCTAATTAAACACCTGGAAGGCCACAGGTTTCTCACTCCTGCAGTAGGGAAAGCGTATGGACAACAATGCAGTTTAGTTTGAGATAATTGTGAACAAGTTAGTTACATGCCATTTCAAAAATATTCATTCTCATTAACCCATGAATGCTGAGATCCTTAACAAAAATACTGTGCACCTTATGATCCTTTGAAGAGGTATTAAATACTCATTTGTGTGTTACTTTAACTTGTCAGTGCTAATGAACATGGTGTAGACTAGAGGTTCTCAAACTTTCTATTCCTAAGGCTACTTGCGATGGCTGGAAATTACTGAGACTCACCAGTCACAAAACAGTAGTGCACACCCTAGGCCAACCCCAACCTCTCTCACCACCAAAGGAACACAAGTGAACGACACAAATAACGCTGACACCAAACTCTACACACATTAAACATAATAGAAACACCGCCACCCGACCCCACCCCCATCCATCTTCCCTCTCTCCACCCCCCTTTTCTTCTCTCTTTCTTTTTTCTTCTCCCCCTAATGCCTCAACAAATGAAATGGATTTGTAAAAATGTCAAAGGGAAAAAACAAACAAAAAACGAGGCACTACACTTCTGTAAAACAAGAAAATCCTTAATAAAATATTAAAAAAACAAAAAAAAACAAACAAAACAAAACAGTAGTGCAGGGCAGTCAGCCACAAAATAGTGGCAGATGGAGGTGGAGTTTGGCATAATCAGCTGACGATTAAAATCATTGTCTATTGACATCTATTCCCTCTTCAGAAATAGCTAAATTCTTTGCCAAAGCATTTCCCTTGTGACAGACAGTTCCTTTTCATCGTTTTTTTTCTTCATTTAAATACAGACTCCACATACAGATGCTGGGTGACCTTGGGCTAGTCACACTTCTCTGAAGTCTCTCAGCCTCACTCACCTCCCAGAATGTTTGTTGTGAGGGAGAAAGGGAAAGGAGATTGTTAACTGATTTGAGACACCTTAGGGTAGTGATAGAGCAGGATATCAAATCCAAACTCTTCTTCTTCTTCTCTTTATATATAGAGCTTTTATCTGCCATTTCCCAGAGCTGAATACCACGTTTATTCCATACAAGATTCACCCAGCTATATACATATGCTTGTCAATTGAATTTGTAATAGTATTTTGTATATTTATTGTTTTAAGTGATCTTTTTAGATACTTTAGTTTGAAGCTGTATATTATTATTTAATAGGTGTAACAATGATTTCTGTCACTATTGTGAAGTACTAATTCATATGAATTCTTGAAAGAGCACATACTTTCAAGAACTGACAAATGACAACTTAGTGTACCCGTATGTAGCTCTCTCTATTCTAGCACATTACCCTTACCAGAACTTTCCTTAACTTTATTTGTGGGATGTTTAAAACAAGTCTGAACTACATGATTCAGCCTACACCCTTAGGAGAGAAAATGAAACAGTCATCCTTTAAGACTGCCCAGCCCTCATGACTCACAATATCCCATTTAATTTCTTTATAATCCAGCCATTAAGTTGATATCTGTGCTCTTTCACAGATATATTTTTTAAAAAAACCTCTGCATCTCTTTGATTGTATATTAGGGTTGGAATTTTGTAAGAGAAACCATTAGTACAGATTACCGGTATTTGCCTATGTGACACTTACCTGGACTTTTCCCTGTCCCTTGCTTTCAACCTTAGCATCTATGGAAACTTTCATTTCACTTCACTGCCCTTTTCTATACACAGGGCAACAAGAATGATGCAGGAAGAAATTGGAAGCCATGGGATACAATAGAAGTGCACAAACTACCTTGAGTATTTTATATAGGACAGGAATATATACCAAAAATAACATTAATGATTGAGAGAGAGGAACGTCTCTCAAGATACAGGAAATAGTATAGTAAGTTCTACAGCACTGGGTTTGGCTGTGGGGAAACCCAGGCTCAAATACCCATTCACCTATGAAGTTCACTTGGATGACCCCAGGCAACTCACACTTGCACAGCCTACCTAGTTACCGTACTTGGGAGATGAGATACAAATGTAAAAAACAAATTCTAGTTAACTGAATTGTATATCAGGAATGTAACACACACTAGATTTATCCAACTTATGTACAGAGTGTCCTAAGTCCTGAAAGCACTCTGTGACCCACTTTCAAGCTGCAACAAGTAGTTCAGGTTCATCAGCTGACTCCACTATATTAATATGGGTTAGATCACACACAAAGGAATGACTTATTAACACAGTCTGCCTCAGCACTTTGCCCTAGAACTGCAACCTTGGTCAAGGGTGAAAAATTCTCAAAGGTTTTATTACCCTGAAACCTTAAACCATGTTTTAAAGCACTTCAGAAGATGCTTCAAACCAGAGACAAAATAATTCTACCCAATCACATTTTAATGCAATGCTACTCAAAGTGGTAAGGGACATGGGTGGCGCTGTGGGTTAAACCACAGAACCTAGGACTTGCCGATCAGAAGGTTGGCGGTTCGAATCCCCATGATGGGGTGAGCTCCCGTTGCTTGGTCCCTGCTCCTGCCAACCTAGCAGTCCGAAAGCACGTCAAAGTGCAAGTAGATAAATAGGTACTGCTCCAGCGGGAAGGTAAACGGCGTTTCCGTGCGCTGCTCTGGTTCACCAGAAGCGGCTTAGTCGTGCTGGCCACATGACCCGGAAGCTGTACGCCGGCTCCCTCGGCCAATAAAGCGAGATGAGCACCGCAACCCCAGTCGGTCACGACTGGACCTAATGGTCAGGGGTCCCTTTACCTTTACTCAAAGTGCTGGTCCGTGGACATGCGCCAGTCCACGAGTCATCAGCTTCCACCATGGTCCAAGTTGGGTAGGATGTTTTAGAGACCAAATATGGTGTCAATTCTTGGCACACTGTGCGGGGCTGCCAATCCACTACATCAGATAACTTGAGAAGCAACTGTTTTAGCAGACTATGACAGAATGTGTTATTTTAGCAACAGCAACCTAGAAGTGCAATTGTGTGTTTTTTCAATCGAATGTCAGGACAGCTTCATATTCCTGCACTGCAGGGGGTTGGACTAGATGGTACTCAGGGTGCCTTCCAACTCTACAATTCTATGATTAAGATAGGGAATACAAAAACATCATTAAGGAACCCCTAAACTTTTGGCTGCTAGAAGCAAATACTCAGGAGACTAGATTGTTCAGTTGTGTTGCTGCTCAACCTCATTTCAAACTTCCAGTGTTGGTCGTATTGGGAAATGACTATGGACTCAATTAATTACTGATCTGACTCAGTGTGGTAGTTCTTTTGGATTTGTTTTTTGGGCACGGCATGGCAGTTGTTGCACAATACAGGATTGACCCAATGCAGTAATGACACATTACAGCTGTGTGAAACACAAATGAGTTTTATATAAGGGATCACAGTAGAAAAATTACAAAGGACTCCTAAAAGAACATCTGGTTGGCCATTGTGAGAACAGGATACAGGACTAGATGGCTCATTTGCCTGATCCAGCAGTTTCTTCTTATGTTCTTAATTATCTTCACAGTGCATGGGGCCAGAAGTGACATGTATGTCATACCTGGCTGTATGAAGGCAGATTGTGTCTCCTCACACCAACACAATCAATAGTGTAAGGGAAGGGATTCAAGCCAGTCTTGCTGTGGTAATCCTTATACTGTATTTATACAAATTAATAGAATAGGTTTTGTAAAAGCCATAGTTTAGAGTTTAGATCCATATCACTTGTGTTACTTGCAGCATATCACTCCATATGAGCCTTTGGTTTCAGAGACTGCCCCCACCCACAATGCAATACACAATATTCCTGCTAACTAACTCCTGCAAACTTTCCTAACAGTAGATAACTGGTCGTTTTTTTAATCCTCTAGGATTTATATTTTGCATTTAAACCCTGAATTATTTAGAATGGTATTAGGATGATTTGGATAACATGGAAGTAAGCATTTTTATTCTTTTCATGCATTGTGAATGAAATACATGTGTAATACAGGTGAAAAGATCAGCACTTAATTCAAAACCTTGTTGAACTTCTAAAGCATCTTAAAATTAATGGAATGAATATGTCTGGTCTTCATTATTTTCTACATTTAATCATACCATCTCTTGATTACAGAGAAGACGCAGAGGCACCAAAAGCCCGATTAGTCAAGCCTGGCTCTTCCTCTTCTGGCTCCAGAAGTTCACATTCTGGATCCTCCTCAACAAGATCAACAGCAAACAGTGCCTCCCGAAGCCAGCAGACATTATCAACAGAAGCCACTCCTCATATTACTCCAACGCAACACAACCAGGTTGAGATAGATGGCAGGGAAACTGAGCCAAAGAAAATAAACCACACCAACTTTATGAAAACAGAAGCCACACCAACCATGATGCCTGCTCAGAGTCGGGTTTTCCAGTCAGTTTGATTATTCCACATCTATTCAGGCTCCAGCTATGCCCATAACACACACACACACAAACCACCAGCACTATATTAGATTGTTTACCTTCCAAGGGAGCTCCCCCACCACACACACTCAACCACTACATAATAAAACTCATCACTCAGTATTCTCTGCTACAGGTAGCCTTGAAAAGTGAACTCATGCTGGTTTTTTTATTATTATTTTTAATGCTTTTTGTGATTAACTCTTAAAGGAAGAAAAGGGAACACTGAAGTGGCAGGTGTCAAATGCTGGAGTCTTGAACCATTTTTTTAAAAAATAAAAAAGAGACACAAAAAATCCCAATAGATCTCTGAAGTGGAAATTTATTTGGGAGTTTTCATGAAATGTATACAAGAAGCAATACTGAAGTGTGTCGGGGGGACGATGGACAGTGTACTTCTCTTTTCTGTACTGGAAATAACACCATCCATTTTTAGGATGGATATTGCCAAAGTTACTATGTTGTTGCTTTTAAAAAGGCCAGAATAAAATGGAAAGTGTGATGAGTAAAACTTCTAATTAATGGTTTGGGAAATCTTGTTGTAAATATACTTGTGAAAGAAACACTCAGACACCCAAAATTTAAAGGAAAAAGCCAATGAAAGTTTGTTTACACAATGTGACCAGAACTGTAGAATTCCATAGCTGATTTTAAGAATTCCTCAAATTTTCCAAAGTACAAAAAGACTTCCATTATTACTATTTGTTACTGAAGATATAAATTTATAACTAGGCTGATTAAATGTTCATACTGCAGCTGCCTGTTTTAAAGCCTGAATTCTGACATTTTATCACATTCAGAGTGAAACCACTAGCCTGACATAGTACAAGAATGATTCCCAAATGGTTGCTTAGAAAGTACCAGTGGATCATGTACTGTATTGGCAATTCATTAACGTTAGATACAACACAAGGGGTTTCAATAAAGGTTTCTCAAAGGAAATCAGGGGTGAATTTTCTTCCTATGAGAGAACGGCCTTTACTTGGAGAGTCCCTGTAACAAAATGTTTGGAAATATTTGAAGCATGCTCCAGTATGATTAAAATCACGTATCTAGGAATACTAATGGTTCTAGACAGTTAGTCCTACTCAGAGCAGACCCACTGAAAATAATGGACATGAATTATTTAGGTCAATTCACTTCAATGGGTCTACTGCAAGTACAGCTAGCTGGGTGCAACCCTAACAGTACCCCATATGTTTATTCAGAATTCTACTGTGTTGAAGAACGTGCTCCTAATGTTCACAGAGTAGTACTTTAAGTTTATTATCCCCAACTAAGGAACCTACTTTCCCCTTCTTCAAAATAAACCTAATACAGTGCCAATGACTTCTGTTTGCAGGTCATACTGAATTCATATTATGCACATCCTTAACATGAATAAATTAAGATATAAGGTTTATGGACCACTGAACAGTTTTATCACTGCACTGATTTGAATCACCACAGGGAAGATTGCAAGGTGGTCAACAGTTTATGATTTATTGTAAACTTCATTTTTCAAACTTTTAACTAGGAAGCTTTTTAGATCACTTTACTCAGGATCTGACCCAAGTACAGAAATGGATTAATGATTTGTATCACAAAAAAGAGGACACTGAAACAGTGATATGTGGCAGAATTTTTTTCAACACTTTGTTTCCCATTCAGGAAGCTCAGTAGTAACAATGAGTGGATGCTAACTGCAAATAAAATACTAGGCAAGTTTGGCAATTTCAAAGTTTTTAGTTTTGTTTACTAAATACAAGTAACATTAACATGCTAAATCAGATCACTCTCTAGGGCACCAAATTATTTTCCATTGCAAGCTTGAATCCCCACCCCAATTTAAATTATCCCATACAAATTACTCTAATTTACAAAGGAAAATCTACACCATTGTATTCTAATTGGCTAAGTTGTAAATATATGGTACGTGTGTACTTTGAGCCTTCACATGCTATTAAATTTCCAAACCAACACCTGCCATTTCTTTAAAGGTGAAGTACAAACTATGGATTCTACTAGTTTAGCACATCGTCAGTGGCATTATAGGTTAAAATTAACCCAAGTGAATTACACAGGTATTAAGGGAGATAAGATCTAAATAAAGGTGGAATATATTCTTTCAGATCATCAAATATTTCACATTTAAAGAGAATGTTAAGTGCAATGGCTTTTGAAGTAGACATGGTACTAAACACTATTTCATAAGGGAAATCACGCTCATGTTACGAGAAACCAAACTTTATTTTGTAAAATATTCTATTTAAAGTATTTACTGTTATTCTGTATACCAATTGCTACTTAGTGTGGGTGCATAAATCTTCTCTAGTTTTGTTTTAATTCTTAATTGGTAAACTGAGATTACGTCTACCTGCTATTATTGGTGTACTTGTGCTCAGAATGAGCAACACAAAATGAAACAAACATTTATTATAGATTCCTTTGAATCAACAATTTAGTAAGGTTGTTTTGTTGTTGTTTTTAAATAAAAGAGGCTGCAGTATAAATGCTGTAGTTCAACCAAACCTGGAAAAGTGTCACAATTTTGTTATGTAACTAACTTTATTGTCCAATTAATTATTTCAAACTGCATCAAGGAGAGGGAAAATGAGAGGAACTTCCTCTTACCTACTAAGTGTTTAGAGGAAAGAGATTAGAGAAGGGGATAGTAGTAGGCTTCCATATCCTGGCTAGCAGGAGATCTAGGACCTGGGAGTCTATACTATATGAAGAGTCTGATGGCTTTCTTGTGACCTATTTGTTTTGTTGATCCCACTTTACAATATGCAGTAGGACCTAAAGGTCATGAGATGCAAAGCCTGTCACATTTCTATGTAAACAGAGTAATCTATTCACACTTGCAGTTACTTATATGGTGCTAATTAGGCTAAATTGTATTAGAGAATCAATAGGACTTATTTCAAAATAAACATAAATTCCAAGAAATCCTACAAGAAAATGGAAATTTCAAGCTTTTGAATGCACGTATAACTAGAATGCCCTATGGATTATATAACCAATGAACACACAATTCCACTGGGGGGAATCATTCCAGCAACATATCCCAAAAGACCTTATTTGAAGATATAAATAGATCCGATCTACAGCAGTTTAGTCACCCTTCAGAACCAACAACCGTAGCAAGCACATTTTGACATAAGATGATAGGGACACAAGCTTCGCTTCCCTCTGACAATCTCAGATTCATCAGTATCAGGATTAGAGATGGAGAAATTTCTTCAACTTCCAAGAGCCTACTTGAAAAAGAAAACTTTTAATAAAGGACATCCTAATTTTGCCCCAACCCAAAGAGATTCTTAATTAGGTAACAATTGGGGGAAAGAGGAATTTGTTAGGAATAAGTGCCCCAAAATATTTGAGATTGATAGGGAAATAAATTGCCACCAAAAGTTCATCTTTCACCCCAAACGTGAATAGGCAGTGGAATTTCCATCATCAATAGGCAGAGGATAGCAAAAAAAAGGGGGGATTTTTTTTTCATGTGAGGAATTAATTGCAGCCAGAATTAACCATGGTTTACAATGGCCCAATTCACATGCCACTGTAAACCACAGTTAAAATAAATTATAGTTTAAATATGAATGAAACTAGATTACTATTTGTGGTTCGTTTGGAGAGGAGGAAATTATGGGCCTGGGTCTGAATTAAATCAGACCACTTTTTGTTTTCTGGCAGCGTAGCAGGAATGGGGAAGGAAAAGCACTAGAACAATGCACACTCAAATTTAATCCATAGGTTTATTTTAACAACCATTTAAAGGGGCATGCAAATCAGGTCAATGCAATGAAAAATACATTTACTCAACAACATCCTACTAAATTTAATGGGCTTTCCTCCCCAGTAAGTATGATTCTATCTGCCAGCAAGCTTATGCATATTACTAAAAAAACAAGTTCCACTGTGAAATGGGACTATCTACACAGGGGACATAGGACGCTGCTGCCTTAAACCATGTTAGACTATAAATCCATCTAACTCATTATTTACACTGTGGCAGCAACTGTTTCAGAGAGTATTTCCTAATGCTTTCTGAAAATGCCAGGATTGAACCCAGGACTGTTTGCATGCAAAGCTTGTGCTCTACCACTGAGCTTCAGTCCTTCCCCTTGCACATTAGGCCTACACCTTTAATCCCAGAACCAATCATTCCTTGTCAGAACTAAACCAGCAAAAACGTGCATTCATTTGGTTTCTTTTGTGCAACTGTCTGCTGGTCATCAGACATCTAAATTAGAAGACCTTCCAAAGCCAGAAATACGTAACTCTGTGGCAGTATGAAACCAACCATCGTCCATCTCAGCATCACATATTGTTGAGGAGAGATGTGGAGCTAACTGCAAACAAGGTTGACAGGGGCTCAGCTAATCTGTTACCTGATTTTAGTACCCGAGCAGTTTTAAACTATATGAACTCCCTTTAAGAGGGGGGCGGGAAGGGGGGGGAAATCAGAAACAAGACCCTTATTACGCCAACAAAAATGGAACACAACAGGAAGCAAACTTTCAGCTTTTTCTTTACACTCAAACAGACTGTGTGGGGTCGGGGAGAGACCTGGGGGTGGGAGGAACAGCTTGGGCTTGTTTGGTAAACCCTTTGGAGGGTTGTTGTTGTTTAACCATCAATAGGTATGTAAAGCATACAAAATACAGTACAGTGGTACCTCAGGTTAAGTACTTAATTTGTCCTGGAGGTCCGTTCTTAACCTGAAACTGTTCTTAACCTGAGGTACCATTTTAGCTAGTGGGGCCTCCAGAGCACAATTTCTGTTCTCATCCTGAAGCAAAGTTTTTAACCCGAGGTACTATTTCTAGGGGGGACACAGATGGCGCTGTGGGTTAAACAACTGAGCCTGATCACAAGGTGGGCAGTTTGAATCCCTGCGACGGGGTGAGCTCCTGTTGCTCAGTCCCTGCTCCTGCCAACCTAGCAGTTCGAAAGCACATCAAAGTGCAAGTAGATAAATAGGTACCGCTCCGGTGGGAAGGTTAACGGCGTTTCCGTGTGCTGCTCCGGTTCGCCAGAAGCGGCTTAGTCATGCTGGCCACATGACCTGGAAGCTGTACGCCGGCTCCCTTGGCCAATAAAGCGAGATGAGCAACCCCAGAGTCGGTCACAACTGGACCTAATGGTCAGGGGTCCCTTTACCTTACTATTTCTGGGTTAGCGGAGTCTGTAACCTGAAGCGTATGTAACCTGAGGTACCGCTGTAATGAAATCTAACAGCCACAAAGTCCGCAATGATCTCAATAAATCCCCCTCTGGACTCTGCACCTGGCAGGTGGGATTCAGAGCACCTTTCTCCACCCCCACAACTGCCTTTGATTCCCACTTCAACCACCAGACAGGTTGGTTCCTCTATGCCTCGTACCCAGTGAAGATTTTATTCACACACACACACCACCCTTCCTGATAGTGGTTCTTCACTCACCCTTTTTTCCCTTGCAGGACAGGGGTAGGCAGATACCATTTTGTGGTTCGCCTCAGGTACCAAAATGTATTGGGCCAGCCCTGGCCTTTCTCCATGGCGCTTATGCAGCTTTCAGGTTATGCCTGGTGTGTATGTGCAATGTGCCCTTGAGCATATGCAGAATTCTGTAAGGCAATTCCCTCGCACAGCAGGTCGGCAAAGGAAGAAAGGTTAAGGGTACTGGCTTCAGAATGCCCTTCAGAAACTCTCTCATTTCACAACCAGTGTGGCATAGTTGATAAAAAGGGTCACGACTAGGACCTGGGAGCTCACAGCATGTGACCTTGGAAAGAAGCCAGTTACTGCCTTTAGGCCTAACCTACCTCACAGGGTTGCTGCGGAGATTAAATGAGGGGTAGAACCACGTGCTCCACCTTGGAGAAAAAGGTGGGATATAAATACAATAAACGAAAATAGGGGGGGGGAGCCACAACAATCCTAAGTGTGTTGAGTCGATTTACTTCCTCTCGAGATAGGTCGGCATTGTCCGCCCCTTGGCGCCCGAGCATGAACCGCCCGTCCCCAACTGACCCCGGCCCTGGCCATCAGCCAGCGCCCTGCGGCAAACGGGCCTCGCTAATCCGCCATTTTGTGCCAATCTCTCTCCTTCACTTCCAAAAATGCGGCTGCTCTCGTCCCGCCCACTGCCTTCCCGCTCTGAGGTAACCAGCGACCCGATTGGCCAGTTTCTCACCCCTTTCTCCCGTGCGACCATCTCATTTGTCACTCCCTACGCCCGTCCGAATCTTCAGTTTGCACTCAGCCCGGCTCCCCTTCCCCCTCCCTGTCTCATTTCTCCACCCAATCCCTCCCGTCGAATATTATATAAATATTGAGGGGGGGGCCCGACCCGATTCTGCGAGGGATTGGCTCCACCTCAGAACACAAAAGACAGAAAAAGAACAGGCCCTATCTACGCCTAACAGCTCTCCGGTTATGCAAATAAAGGCGGCCGGGGGAGAAATTTCATTGGCCCAGGGCCACGTCGTGGAGCTCGAACATTTCCTCTCCCTCCCACCCACATACACTGTCTTGCCGCGCTGGGAGAGATGAAAGTTCTAGAACCAGAATAAGGAAAGAGAGCGAGAAAGCCGGCCGGCACCCGTTGAATCACCCGTTTCGCCCGCCCGCTTCGCTTTCCTTTGTTGCGTCACATACGCCTCACGCAATGCCTCTACGGCCATTGGCTGAAGTGGGCGGGGAAGGCGGGCGACAGACGCGGCGGGATTGGCCCGTCGGCCGGAAAGAGGCGTGGCCCTTCTGGAAGGTTCTTCAGTAGTATATAATGACTTGTGGCTGGGCCGAGAAAGCCGCTTTTTCTCCAGAGCTACTCGAAGCAGCTACTCGTTTCCTGGTTTTTGAAGGAAAACGAAGCAGGTAATTTCTTTGAAGGGGGGGGCAGTAATGCAGAGTGGGTGCCTATATATGCGCTAATTGCATCTAATTCATTGATTTCTTTTCCTTCTGTGGTTGGGGTGGACGAAAGTAGAGAATTTGCTAAAGTGGAAAAAAACCGTGTTGCTCCTTAATTTCGCAGGCTTCCCATTCCTTTTGTCCCATTTCCTTTCAGCTCTACAAAACGTCTTTCAAGCCTCTTTCTCTTCGCCCTCACTTTCTCTAGCGTAGGGGTCTTTGCCTGAGTCTGGGGAGGGAGGAGGGGGGTGACAATGGCGTTTGAAACGGTGTTCCTTTAGGGAAACCGGTAAAAGGAAATAAATGTAAGGAGAGGCTCGGCGAAACGCTTCGTACCAAAGAAAAGGAGGAAACGAGCGCGGGGGGGGGGGGAAATAATGGTATGGATCGCCTTTAGAAAAACCAGGCTAAATCTGCTAAGGCGATTAAAGTACACGTGGGCGGGCCGCCCTCCTTTAATAAAGCAGCTATATTGGCCTTTTCTTTTAACGGGGGAGTGAAAAGGAAGGATGAAGGCAGACTCCATTCTGCTACTCATATGTTCAGTCTATGCCCCGTTAAACCTGGCTATAGGATTGCCCGTTGATTTAACGCGGGAAAATTAGGTGGGGGCAACCCCGGTTAAAAACGGGAACCACCTTTCTCTTTCTCCCCCCCCCCCCCACACGTTTATGTATCGTGTGCCGCTAATCCAGTTTTACTTGGATGGGGGCAGATTAACGAAATCGGCGGGGGCGTCTTAATCTTTAGGATACGGAACGCAGGCGCTAAGCCTTAGAAAATGGGGGCGGTCTTTATTATTTTCCTGATGACCTTGAAATATCGAGGCGAGGAAATGAGCCGCAGATGGCACGGGGGGGGGCAGGATTGCTGCCTCCCTCGACCTTAGATCACTGGAGTCTTGCTTTAAAAGCGGATGTTCTTAAGTAACTGCTGGCGAAAGGTCCAGTTCCTTTTTAGGGTGGTGTGGAGGAATCTCTTCTGTCGTCTCCCTTCCTTAGTGGTGCAGAAAGCTTACCTAATCGCCCTTCTTTCCTTCCTCCTCTCCCCCTCCCCGCCACGTGCTCAGCAGCGCCCTCGGCCGGTTCCGGCCGGCATCTTTGCACGTGGTCTGGTATCGCTCCTCCCATCCAGCGAGGCCTCGTGTTCCAAATGCAGGCCGCGGAGGGAGGGGGGAAGAGGAGGTTCCCAGAATCCAACGCGAAGCCCCGCCTCCTTCCCGCGCGGGTGGAACGCTCTTAGGGCATGCCGGGAAAAGTAATTCAATCCTTCCGGTGCCCCTCGTGGCTGGAACGTCGGCGCTTCCGCCTCGGCCACGTGGTGGCTTCTCCAAAGTCGCTGCACCGCCTTCAATCCCCATTCTATTGGCATTAGAACAGAAGGGTTTCCGAGGGTTCAGATTTGCGGGTCCGAGAGCCTCGTGGAATATGAAAATTGAATGCATACAAGCATCCATAATTTTACATCTGGGCAGTGGGGTTCTAAGCAAGAGGCCTAGTCCTGCACAAGTAATGCTTTGATTTCAAGGCAAGGAAAAATTCCAGATTGTTTCAGAGAGTTAATCTAGTTAGTTTTATGGCCAAATGGGGATTTAAGTGTATGGTCCTCCTGGGCATTTCTGAAACTTCACTAGGCTGGCTCTAGGATAAATGTTTTACTAAATGGTTCTTAATGATTGTTCTTAATGTGGATTGGCTGACAGTTTTTGCTTCGAATATGTTGATTCTCGTGCTTAAACATTACAGGCATGAATTGTTGATATCTAAATGTTACTTTGTTCACAGCTACAATGTCTAAGGGACCATCTGTTGGAATTGATCTTGGCACCACTTATTCCTGCGTGGGTGTCTTCCAACATGGCAAGGTGGAAATCATTGCCAATGACCAGGGTAACAGGACCACTCCCAGCTATGTTGCCTTCACTGACACAGAGAGGCTTATTGGTGACGCTGCAAAGAACCAGGTGGCAATGAACCCCACCAACACTGTCTTCGGTAAGGATAACATTGACTCCCTGGAAGCATTTGTCTTGCACAATGGCCATTTAGATTAAGGCTTGCTTAAGGTGTTTTGTCATGCAACTATGCTGTAATAACACAATTGGGTAATAACAAAGTATTCTAGTAGCAGGGCACATCTAATTAACTTTTCCATTTCAAAAGCCAGCGGGGTTGAAGTTTCTCAACACCACTCTTGAGTTATATTTAAAGCCACTTCCTTAAGGGAGTCACTTCCCTGACCTTACCACATGCCCCATACGAATAGCTGCATTAGTGGCAAGAATACCAGAGAGCTGTGGAGAAGGCTTAGTATGTCCACCTGGAGTTTTGGTAGTTTCTCCACCCCTGGGAAGATTGAGTTGTATAACCCTTTGTATGTGCTCTCTTCAAATTGGAAATAAGCCTTGTGGCACCTTAAAAGCCAGCAAGTTTTGTTGCAGCATCAGCTTTTATGGATCTGTTTAACTTAATTCTTAGTAGGCAGAGATAAGTACATGTACTTATATATGTGGGGATATAAAATGTTCCTTTAGTAGAATGTATAATTTTACAACACACGTGTACATTTTATTTTGTATACATTTTGTGTACAAATTCAATTACCAATAAATTCAGCCTTTTTCCCTTTAAGCTGCAGCATTTTCTGCTCAGTGCACGTATGCTTCTTTGAAAGTTGATATAATTAAATCTGAAAGACCCTTTTTTGCTGCATTCAATCTAAAATAGCTACTTTTCTGAAAACTAGAAAGGGCAGTGTGCCATTATTAAAATGACACAGGAAGTCACCAGTGAAGCATTACTAACAAGTAACTAAAATCTTTTTATAGATGCAAAGCGTCTGATCGGCCGTAGATTTGATGATGCTGTTGTCCAGTCTGATATGAAGCACTGGCCTTTCACTGTGGTGAATGATGCTGGCAGACCAAAAGTCCAAGTGGACTACAAAGGAGAAACAAAAAGCTTTTATCCAGAGGAAATTTCTTCCATGGTGCTAACGAAGATGAAGGAAATTGCAGAGGCGTACTTGGGAAAGGTGAGGCTTTAAAATGACAGCATTGTGATTGCAAATTGTATGCTGTATTGTTTCCATACTTTAACACGTTTCTTTTTACCTTTTGCAGACTGTTACAAATGCTGTCGTCACAGTCCCAGCTTACTTTAATGACTCCCAACGCCAGGCTACAAAAGATGCTGGAACCATTGCAGGTCTCAATGTGCTCCGGATCATCAATGAGCCAACTGCAGCTGCTATTGCTTATGGCTTGGACAAAAAAGTGAGTGGTAAAAGGCATCCCAGTCCATGGTGAGGAATATCTGGGTATTACTAATTTGTTTTCATTTCCACTAATGTGTACCTTTTATCATGTATCCTAGGTCGGTGCTGAGAGAAACGTGTTGATCTTCGACCTTGGTGGTGGCACCTTTGATGTCTCGATCCTCACCATTGAGGATGGCATCTTTGAAGTAAAGTCAACTGCAGGTGACACCCACTTGGGCGGGGAAGACTTTGACAACAGAATGGTCAACCATTTCATTGCTGAATTCAAGCGCAAACACAAGAAGGACATCAGCGAAAACAAGCGAGCTGTTCGAAGGCTCCGCACCGCCTGTGAGCGTGCGAAGCGTACTCTCTCCTCCAGCACTCAGGCCAGTATTGAAATAGATTCCCTGTATGAGGGTATTGACTTCTACACCTCAATTACCAGAGCTCGCTTTGAGGAGCTGAATGCTGACTTGTTCCGTGGCACTCTTGACCCTGTGGAGAAAGCCTTGCGGGATGCCAAGCTAGATAAATCTCAGGTGCATGATATTGTACTTGTTGGTGGCTCCACTCGCATCCCCAAGATCCAGAAACTCCTTCAGGATTTCTTCAACGGCAAGGAACTGAACAAGAGCATCAACCCTGATGAAGCTGTGGCTTATGGTGCAGGTCAGTAATAGTCTGAAAGCTTATCAGCAATGCATCCTTGCAGTTACACCAAAATTTTGGGCAATACACCTGTAGATTAAGCATGTGTTTACATGCAAGCCTAGAATCTAGATTCCATCCTATAAACTTGATTTCTTGCCTTGATGACTGGTTCCAAATCCATTCGCGGTTTCCACCAGAAGCTGATAATGATGGTCCAAACCTTCCTTGGATGTCTGAGCGAGTAGAATTATTTGAGTAGTAAAGGGGCATAGTGTGCACTTTTGTTTATGCATAACCTCTTTTTTTCCACTTTACAGCTGTTCAAGCTGCAATCTTGTCCGGGGACAAGTCTGAAAACGTGCAAGACCTGCTGTTGCTGGATGTCACTCCTCTGTCGCTGGGTATTGAAACAGCTGGTGGTGTCATGACTGTCTTGATTAAAAGAAACACCACAATCCCCACAAAACAGACTCAGACCTTCACCACGTACTCTGATAACCAGCCAGGTGTGCTGATTCAGGTATGGTAAAAATGTTCCATGGGAGTTTAGCTAAAAATACTGCTATTTAATCTAGGACTAGCCATATGGTGCCCTCCAGATGTGCTGAAATTCTGGCTAACCTGACATTTAACAGTGTTTATTTTAGTTTAGGGGAGTATCAACTTCTGGAGGACATCACATGAATTATTTACTCTGCAATGTCAGGATAGCAGGCTGGTGCCTGGTTGCAATGATGAAAGAGATTCCAAAACCATTCGTAGTTTCCACCAGAGGTTGAAAGACCTATGTTGGCTTAAAGTACCTTCCTTGGATGTCTGAGCGACCAACTTACTCATAACTGCTTAGTTTCCTATTAAAGAAAAAATATTTTAAGATGCATTCTAACCCTATAAATAGAGCCTTTACACTTGTAAAAGAGACTGATTATAGACACTTCCTATTCTTTTATAGGTTTACGAGGGCGAGAGAGCAATGACAAAAGACAATAACTTGCTGGGCAAGTTTGAATTAACTGGCATCCCTCCAGCTCCAAGGGGCGTACCTCAAATTGAAGTAACATTTGACATTGATGCCAATGGTATCCTCAATGTGTCGGCCGTGGATAAGAGCACTGGCAAAGAGAACAAGATCACAATAACCAATGATAAAGGTAAGTTGCTGATATGGGAAGAAGTTTATGAAATGGAAGTAGGTAACTATAGATTAGCCAAAACTAATTGACCTACTGTTGAGGTTTCAGGTGAGAATAAGGTAATCCAGATTGCAGGGGCCCTTTACGCTTTTTTAAAAAAACTAACAACTATGCAGCAAATAGTGGTTTGACTGCCAAAACACAAAACTTAAAAATATTTTATTCTTCAAAGGCCGCCTCAGTAAGGAAGACATTGAACGCATGGTCCAGGAAGCTGAGAAATACAAGGCTGAAGATGAAAAGCAGCGTGACAAGGTGTCATCCAAGAACTCCCTAGAATCCTATGCTTTCAATATGAAAGCTACTGTGGAAGATGAGAAACTTCAAGGCAAAATTAGTGATGAAGACAAGCAGAAGATCATGGACAAGTGTAATGAGATCATCAACTGGCTGGATAAAAACCAGGTTTGTAGCTCCGCCCCAACCCAGATAGATAAAGGAGGGGGTTTTTACACTTCAAGACTAAAATTGTCCTGGTGGAGGGCGTTTAAACACTTTGCTTGTCCACAAAGCTGCTTTGTGTGGCAGAAGGAAGCCTACACTTAAAAAAGCTAGCAAGTGCCTAGGGTGGCACCTACAAATCTTTAAACAGCGGGTCTGTCCTTGATGCTAAAAAAGGGTGGAATAGAGTAGTAGCCAGTGGTTCGCAATGATGAAAGAGTTTCCAAAACCATTCGTAGTTTCCACCAGAGGTTGAAAGACCTATGTTGGCTCCAAGTACCTTCCTTGGATGTCTGAGCGACCACTTGGTAATACATCTGTTGGGCATTGCAGACCCCAATTGCCCAGTAAAGACGCTTTATGCATCATACGAAATTAGGCAAAGTTCACTTAGAATGGCTTGTATAAATCTTAAGATGTGATGCAGTTCAGGAGTGCTAGTGTTTGAGTGGTAACTGGGTTTAGCCAAGCCCCCTTTGTGTATGAGTGTACAGAGGAACAACTAACGTGGATGCTTTCTTCCTGTATATTTTTAGACTGCTGAGAAGGAAGAATTTGAGCACCAACAGAAGGAGCTGGAAAAAGTTTGCAATCCCATCATAACCAAGCTGTACCAGAGTGCAGGTGGGATGCCCGGAGGCATGCCTGGTGGCTTCCCTGGTGGTGGAGCACCCCCCTCTGGAGGAGCATCTTCTGGACCAACCATTGAGGAGGTGGATTAAAGCTCTAGAGAGGACATTTCTGTGGACCACCTTCAGAACCGAAGGACTCAAATTACAAAGGGCATTCTTGATACTTTGAACATGTGCACAGGGAGGGGAAGGCAAACACTGCACTTTACCAGTACTGTATAAAAGTAGAAATGCAACTTGAGTCCCAATAAACTTATTTAATTGGCAACATGAAAGATTTACTTGTGGTGCTTCCTTAGTAGGCAGACTCATTGTGAAGCCAGGAGCAAGGCATCAACATTCACATTTAGCTACTTTACATGAATCTTCCTGGTGCTGTTTCCAGATTTCTACTACACGGCATCCTTGTTATAAGGTCGTATTTGTATGCCTGGAAGAATGCCAAATTATTTCACAGTAAGCGTAGATCTGAAGCTGGAACTTTTAAAATTCAAGGCTATTCACTGTTTTTGCCATAGCTCCTATATTAGCTGAATTGTCCTCTTACCACCTTTTGACAAGGGAGGAGGGGAGACTTTGCCTAAAACCCTGCAAGCTCCCACAAATGGGTTATTATAGCCTCTCTCCAGGTTTGTAACGGGGGTTTAAACACATCTGGAGCCTCCTACCCATTAATCCACTCAGCTGGGAGGCATCATAGGATTGCTACACAACAGTACACATGGAGGTTTTGTACATTTAGCATACCCTTCTAACGCTACTAAATGAGATCCAGAGCAGTGGGGAATTCACCAAATTAAAATGTATCTCCATAAATCTTCAGTACTTTGGTGGATAGCAACCTAACACTTAACATGCTTCAAACACATGAAATGCATTACCAGAGAGGCTAAATACTGTATTAAGTAGCCAGAACCTTAAAACCAGCCATCCCCACCCCAATGCAAATTTGCTTTCTAAAATGTTTTGTGCGTATCTGTTCTTTCCGTAACAAGGTTTGATGGGGGAAAGAGAAACTATGGCCCACAATAGGGGAGAGGATTTGAACCTAGATGAAGCCATAGAAGGGCAGCCCCCTAAAAATTCTCCATATTTTATTTCAGAGAAGTGACAGTGAAGCATCATACAAAATGGAAGTTGCAAGGGTTTCATGAGATTGAAAGGTCTGCTCTTGGATACATTCAAAAGGAAGTTACACTCTCACATTCTACAAGTATTCTAGCATTCCCCCCGCCCCCTGAATACACTTAATAGTGCTAGTTGTTCAGTTAATTGGCCATGTATATGTTTTCAGACTGGAGCCAGATTTTGTAGGGGGAGATAGAACAGTTTTTGCTTGGGGTGGGGGAGGGAAGGAAGGTCCCTGCACTCTAGGTGCAACCTGAAACAGCAGCTAGTAGAGCGTATTAATGAATTTAAGTTCGCTCTATCAAATTCTCTATTATGCTGTAAATTCCACTGAACTCAGCAGGGCCTGTTCCCAAGGGGCTTTAGGATAGCAGTCTTTGTGGCTTTGATCAGGGCAGCCTCTTGCCCCCATATCAGTCCTGTTTTCCTTAGTATCCATGTTGATAAAGGTGCTGCTTTGACCAGTAAAACAGCTGCTTTAAACAGTGTAAATCTGTTTAGTTACCTCTGAATTGTCAACACTGGCTAGCAGTGTTGCTCCACGGTTTGAGACAAAAGCTCTTCCTATCTCTAATTGAAACCGAACCTCATACATTCTGCATGGAAGCATGTCCTTTGCCACTGAGCTATGACCCACTTTCCTAGAGGAAGTGGTGTTAGTTTTGGGGGAGGGATCCAGAATTTGCAGTTGCTATAAAATATCTTTATAGAGCGCCAGTGTTGCCTACTGGTTAGAGCAGTGTTTCCCAAACTCCAGCTACTGTTGGACCACATCTCCCACCATCCCTAGCTAACAGAACCAGTGGTCAGGGATGATGGGAATTGTAGTCCAAAAACAACTGGAGACCAAAGTTTGGGAAACCCTGGGTTAGTGTGTCTTACTATGATCTGGGGGACCAGTGTTCTAATTTCCATTCAGCCACAAAGCTCACATAGTGACCTTGGATCAGCCAGGACAGGGCTGTTGCGGGGATTAAATGAGGGGGGAGCTCCTTGGAGAAAAGGGTGGGATATAAATGTAATAAATATAAGACTAATAAAGCTTTTGAGCTCCCAAAATTATTTAAGCAAGGATACGTACCTCTCAAATGCATAGCTGCTGTATAGATGCCCCATTTAATTGCTTGATTGCCCAGTGAGCTCCCAGAATTTGTGGCCTGAAGTGGCATGCCTGGTTTTAGGCCTTTTTTGAAGCAGCATAGTTAAAAGCCAAAATTCTTGTTCTGTCCACCAGATGTCAGCAGTCACTAATATATAAAAGCTGTGTGTTGAGTTGGTGGTGTGGAGCTCAGCTACTTGGGGATGTGGAGCTCAGCTAGTTTTGTTTTTCGGTCTTCCTGGATGAGTCCAAATGTTGAGAGAGCATGGGAGACAGTCACACAGCAGTTGCACTTCAGAGCACAAATTTCTCTCATCACTTGCATATTCGGGTGGGGTGTTCCAATCAATGCATCCCTAGTTGGCAGGAGCATCCCAAATCAGGACACCTGCACAGATTCTAAGAGGAGAAGTTAGCAAATGTTGAATGCAATTGCCTCAGCGATAAAAGGTCAACAATGAAATTTCAGCATATTTGGAAGTGGGGCATGAAGCTTACTTGGTGATCCTGGGCCAATCAGTGCCTTTCAGCCTAACCTACCTCACAGGGGTGTAGTGGGAGATTAAATGAGGAGGAAAACCATATACACCACTGAGCTTGGAGAAAAAGATGGAATATATCTACAATAAATAAACAGAAAATGTGTATTTTTTCCTCTCAACCTCATGGAATTTGAACCTTGGTCCCTCCCAGGTCCATATCTGGCACTATAACCACTACACCACACTGCCTTTGCTGCTGCATGAAGTGTGGAAAGGCCTGGCGCAGTACATACGCCCACCACCAGAATCAGCTGGTTATCTCCCTCCCCAGCTTTCTCTGAGAGAGCCTGTCTTTATATCATCAGCTTCAGTTCCTCCCTGATTAAAAGAGGGCAGGAAGCTAATTCCTTGCTTATTGGAGGGTCGAGAAGCTATCTCATCACATCTGACTGGAAAGTCTCATAGATTTTAACTCCTGTCTCGGCCATCTCTGCATTGGTTCCCCTTTCAGGAGGATAATTCCCAGCCAGGCGCCTCGAGGACCGAGCCGCCTGTTTGATCTGAAGCTATTTAGGCCCCTTTAGTTGCGTCATAATCTTCACGAAACTTGGAACAATGCGCAAACTGAGCCTGGCTCCTTCCCTTTTGTGTTTTGCAACCACTTTGGAGCAGCCGCTAGCTCTCTCTCTCCCCCACCCCCTTCCCTCCCATCCCTATATTAGGATTATGGCCATTAATTTTAGATTACAGGAGCAACAGCATCCAACTGGAGAGGACAAAAGGCGAGAGGAAAATAACATCTTAAATTGGGCCTGACTGCTGACTAATTAATGTGCATGGGCAGTCATCACATATGCTAAAAGCGACCTCCTTCTCCATTGCTGATCCTTCTGCAGCCAAAACACCACCATCCATACAGACTGGGGGGCGGGGAATTTGCAGAAGTGCAAAAGAACTTTTGAGAGGAAAACCCTCAGTTGTGGTGAGGGAAACGCCCAATAAGCTGAGAAGGTTGCATTGATGGATTTGCAGAATTGCAAGGCACCCCAACAGTCATCTAGACCAAACGCCTATAATGGGGAAATTTGTTGAGGAAGGGGTGAAATAAAATATCCTAGAGAAGGCTATGGCTGGATGAAACCTTAAACAGAGCAATCTGAACTGCAGTTTTATTGCAGGTTGCCTTGTACAGGCAAAAAGACCCGGCAATGTAAGGAGAGCACATCTGGATCTGGCCAAAGGCCCATCTAGTCTTGCATCCTGTCCTCACAGTTGCGGGGAGCCCACAAGCAAGATTTGAGGGCAACAGCTCTCTCCCCACTTGTTGATTCCCTGCAACACGTATTCAGAGATATACGGATTCCACAACAGAGGCACAACATCGACATTGCGGCTTCTAGCCATTGATAGCCCTGTCTCCCCCATCCATTTGTCTAATCCTCTTTCAAAGTCGTCCAAGTTGGTAGTCATCTTGCAGCAGTGAATTCCATAGGTTAACTCTGCACAATGTAAATAAATCCTAGGGACGCGGGTGGCGCTGCGGTCTAAACCACAGCCTAGGGCTTGCCGATCAGAAGGTCGGCGGTTCGAATCCCTGTGACAGGGTGAGCTCCCGTTGCTCGGTCCCAGCTCCTGCCCACCTAGCAGTTCGAAAGCACGTCAAAGTGCAAGTAGATAAATAGGGACCGCTCCAGTGGGAAGGTAAACGGCGTTTCCGTGCGCTGCTCTGGTTCGCCAGAAGCGGCTTAGTCATGCTGGCCACATGACCCAGAAGCTGTCTGCGGACAAACGCTGTCTCCCTCAGCCTATAGAGCGAGATGAGCGCGCAACTCCAGAGTCGTCCACGACTGGACCTAATGGTCAGGGGTACCTTTACCTTTACCTATGTAAATAAACACTTTTTTTAAAGAACTTCTTTTGTCCTGTCTCTTCTAACATTCAGCTTCATTAGCTGTCCCCGAGTTTTAGGAGGAAAACTTTTTCTATCCACTTCCTCCAACCCATTGTATACTTTTATACACCTTTGTTAGATCACCTCTTACTCACTTTTTCTCTAACCTAAAAGGCCACAAAAGTTGCAACTTTTCCTCAGAGCTGAGTTGCTCCATCCCCTCGGTATCTCAGTTGTGCCAGTTCGGTGACCTTGCTTCCCTTCCCTTTCCTCCTCTGCTATGTTGCCAGGTGTCAGTTAACAGAGGGAAGAGCCTGGCTTCCCAGCTGGGTAGGTGATGGTTTTGTGTTGCTTCTTTTCCACCCTGTGTTGCAGCCCTGGTGAAATGGCTGCTAGCGGGAGACATTTGGGAGGATATAAATGACATGGCGAATAATCATGTACCCTGCCTTGAGCTCCTTAGAAGAAAGATGAATTAAATAAAATGGACTGTCCATGATGCCTAGGGACAAATGCAAAATATGTCCCTTGGGAGCTTTCTCGTACAATTTCTAATTGCAGTCCCTACCCCTCCCCTGCTCATTTATCGGGGAATGAATTAGATGCTTAACACAGTCAATACCTAGCCTCTTGCCCCATCAGATCAGAAGAAAAATCCTTGCTATGTATTGCTTT